ATAGATAGATAGATAGATAGATAGATAGATTGATAGATAGATAGATAGATAGATAGAGGGACATAAAATTGATAGAAATGGATCTTGATGAACGCCACTTATCTTGGCGGAATCAAGAACACATTCATCCAACAGATTCAACAAAAATATTCACAACCGGTCAACCATATTAGCATCTGTAGTGTTCAGCATTAGGAAGTCATGTTAACTAGACTGCATACTGATATGCCATAGCATGCATGTGGCAGTTTGAAGAAATATTTGTAGTTCAAAAGTGTTTGTTGGTCTTTGGTTAAGTAACTTTTGGTGTGTTCGCCGAGCCTAGCTTCAAACGAGAGCATCATCCGCGTTTGGTCGGTTCTCGAGATACTACAGTCACAGTGCTATACAAATTGGAGATATTGTTATAATGAATTTCATAGAAAACAGGAGTTTGAGACTGAGCCTTCTAAACAGGCTTTCAAGGTAGAACCAATGCAAAATAATCCATCCAGCTCATGGGGTGAAACTCAAAAGCAGGTGACGTACAACTTAGCGAAGAACGTTTTCAAAAACCAAGCAAATAGACTGGTTTCCAGGGGTCATGTAAGCGTAAGGAAATATACGATATGAACATTGGAAACGAATTTCATTAGATATTCGAGAGTCTAGCGGAAAACAGCGGAATCAACAAACCGCTTACCAGCAGCTTGCATACTAGCTGTTGAAATGCGTTTCCTTAATTGATACTACGCATAAATACTGTGAAGACTCTTATCAAACCAGTTGTGGACTGTCAGCGACGGCTGGAATTGATCTGCAATTGTCAGTCTTTGGAAAAGGTATTTCTTATATACATAGATATATTAGACGCGCGCCCGCTCGAATTGATCTGCAATTGTCAGTCTTTGGAAAAGGTATTTCTTATATACATAGATATATTAGACGCGTTGTAACATCAATCCTCTGTGATGATTCAAAAATTTGAAACGCTGTACAAACAAAGAAATTAATGACGAATTCTATTGGAAATTTTCTCATTCCGAAAACGGCGAAAAAACGTGGCTTGAACGCTGGTTGCACAACATCGTTTGAACGAATTTCCACCACGATGCTTTAAGGTCTGGTGACGTTTCATTGGTGAGCTATCATTGACTCGATTGGCACAGTCTATCCGCGGTTGGAAATGGCATTTTTTGGTCTTCCCCACCAAGCTCTCCACGTGATTCAGAACAGCCAGTCTATGTATATTTGACGTGATCCATAGTTCCCCCAACACCATTTAGGTAAATCGTCAGTTGTGACTTTAGAGAATGTCTTATTTGAGTCAACTATGTGAAATCATGTCAAACGGAATATTGTCCACGTTGGACGCATCTAAATTTTCACGTCTGAACAAGCGAACGTGTTCACACTTGAACGATGTCACAACGAACGATCCTCACAACCAGGACAGTTACGGGTTGTTGTTTCGATTGGTTGGGCACACCAATCACATCGCTCAAGTGTGAACACATTCGCCTGTTCAGACGTGAAAATTGAGATGCGTCCAACATGCGTTGGTCGAGTAGTGGTTACACGCTCGCCCGAATCCCGGCACGACCATTGGATATGCGCTGCCGTTGAGCTCTGTTAAGGGCAAAACTCGAGTCCAGTGCTTCCCTTTGGTGCGGACTCACCGAAATAATTACGCCAGAACAGGAGAAGGATAATTCAAACGAGGGTCGTGTGACTATGTACAACTTAAACATGAAACTCTGTTTCGGCTAGTGCCTGTGACCTTGAACACGTGATGATTTCGTCGATTCTACTGCAGTTTAGAGAAATCCTTTCAACTGTTGAGTACATTAATTGTTATATAGTAGTGTTGCGTGTATTCGTTTTGTAGAATTGAAAGACTATGAGCTGAAGAAAGGTAGGCTACTTCAGTTTGTCCTCGATGATTAACTCACCCAGGATCCAGTAGCGTACGAAGCGCAACCAAACAAATCGTCTATCGATATGTGCTTAGAACACGTGCCATCTATCTCTAACCACGCTCATGCCTAACTGATTTTGAGGCCTCCGTGAATCAACATGCGATCTGACAAGTTTCCGCCCGTAAAATTCGGTTTCAATAAGCCGCATTACTGCACGCAACATTTCAACAGGCGGGTAGATAGTTTTCCACAGTAAACCCTTAGTGTGTCAATGATGCGGTGAGGTACACTGTATTCCAGTGACAAAGCCTATTACAAAGTGTATATTTTGGTCGAAGCTTCATGAGGCCTTTCAGTTCAGTCACAGGTGTTCCATTCGCATACGTAGTACATCATGGTTCACACCACCATACCACTCTAAGGAGGTAGATCCGAATAACATGGAAGGTTTTCTAAGTCCACCGTGTCTCGAAAGACGAACGCAGTTCCTTCTTTACAATGAGTCACCCCACACAGTTCTCTCTGACAAAGTTGCTTGGTTTTATGTCGAGATAAAAAAAAGAGATAAGCCCCGAAATCATCGCCTTTTTTCCATATCCTCATTTCGGTGAACCCATATGGAATCTGTAGTAACGGTATTTTCCTCAACTTGGTTCTCGGTCTGACCCTCCCAAGCTAGCGTTCACGTCAAAAACAACCACAAAGGTGCACAAGGTCTAGTAAAGCCCAAACGAAGTCAGGAACAGTTGTACAGCGCTTCGGATATATAGCGTAGGCGGTTTATAACTTTCTGGAATCTCCGACGCGTCCTGGATGCGTCATTGGCAACCGGCATTTGGCCAATACTGGGTCATGATTGGCTGTTGGGTCCAGATTGTTGACCAATCAGATCTCGTCTTGATGCCGGACCGGCAAGCGTCCCGAATTCTTGGCCAATCTCGCGCGGGCTAGGCTTATCGGCCGTAGCCGCGCCTGAAGAAGTGTGGTATAGCGGGATCCGTGTGGATTTCTGTCTAACAGAATCAGTACAAGGGACGCGAGCAGCGATGCTCTAGGGCTTGGCTAAACCCAGTGGTAGGAAAGGCCGAGAGCTATCTGCTTGTTGCAAGTTAAACAAATTGATTGCAGTTTTCTGGTTTCGCGGGATAGGTACTTTGTTCATAGTCACACCACTCTCATTTAAACAGTCGTCCTCCAGTTCTGGCCTAGTTATTCCGGTGAGTCCACACCGAGGGGAAGCACTGGACTCGAGTTTCGCTCTTATTAGAGCTCATCAGCGGTGCATTTCACTTGCGACTGTACTGAGACAACCAATGTTCGCCAGAAAACTACTCACTACCGAGTACAAAGAAACGATGGCTTTTCCACTGGTATTTTTCAGGTCGCTATGAGGGTGTTGTATCCTCATTAGGACACTGAGACAACCAATGTTCGCCAGAAAACTAGCTACTTCCAAGCAGAAAAACGATGGCTTTTCCATTGGTATTTTGCAGGTCGTTATGAGGGTGTTGGACATTTTTTGTGTACCGATTTCAAAGGGAAGCATAACCCTGGCCTACTTCTTCGGGTACAAAACTTTGTTATCGAAACGACTGTACATTGGATGCGGCCTCCCATTGCATCTTACCTTAGGTTGTGATGCGCTGAGCTCGGAGGATTACGCGGGGAATTGTGACTAGTTCTACAGAGAATTTATAAAATCATACAAGATAAGTGCACAGTCAGAACCGGCTCAGTTCAATTTCTTCTGTACAGCGAGAAACACTCTTGTGTGAGAACGGTAGAGTGTACCCCCGTGGTGTGTAAAGCTTTATCGCCTAGCCTCAAAAAGAAGACAATGATACCTCTCACTTCATGCTGAGTTTGTTTTTAGTAATGCTGGCCTCTAACATTGTGTACTACTTTCTATTCCACCGACAAATAAGTTTTGGTCCATTTATTGATTAGTTACTTCAGCGCATCTCATGCAGCAGAGAGATGATTAATAGGACTGGCTGTACACTTTTCAGAAACAAATCACTCCTGGAGCTAAAATGCCCCGCAGATGGTTGATCTATGAGTCGCAAATTGAGTTCAGGCCTAGGACTGTAGTTGCTTCGACGTAATCCGTGTGCCACGTGCATCGAAACATGTGCTATCAACTGATCAAACTTCCATAAGTTATTTATGGGCCCTGTATTAGGATAGCCTAATGAACTATACTTCTGTGTCCCTCCTCAGTTAAATCACGGAAGGCTGTCTCAGTACTGTATCGTCGAAAACTCGAGACGACCTACTTACGGAAAAAAGCACTCCTTAGCATAGGGTTCTCATTTGTAAATATACTGAAACACTTGTGGTACACTACTCCCCAATCAAGATTTCTATGCGAATTTCCTACACGCTGGAAAAATGATTGTAGATGATGTTTCTATCTTGAGAGTGAAGACAAAAGGTATCGAAAGGCCGAAGAGCACTTCACACCTACTTTGTTTCTATTTAAAATCATCAGCAATGTGCATCTCGCAAATCCTCAAAGAGGATTTCAAAATTTGGCTGCTTGAAAAACAAACGATTCGGACAGGAGCCGCTGATCGAGTAGCGGAGAATGACCAGTAGACGTTCCATCTCAGAAGTCAGCAATCGAGTGGCCCGTTAACACGAAACCAAAAGATGCGACCCCATTACCTGCCAGAGAGCGAGTTCGTCACTTCGTTGCTGAGTCGTTCGTGGCACAGTGGTTAGACGGCGTGATGAGCTCACATCTTCCACAAAGTTTTTGAGGTGCTCGCTGTACCATTATCGAAAAAGCTGACTTCGCTTGCAGAAGTAAATCTGGACTGAAAGTGTCCTCACCTTCTCAAAGATATCATCAGATTGTGTTACATGTGTGCGACACCCAGATAATGGAGTGAACTTCAGACTACTATGACAAAGAATTACCAGTGGATGGAAGATCATCATACCGTGTGCAGTCCCTTCCTGGACAACACGAACTTAGAGATACGAAAGTAAATATCACATCTGCACAGGGTTTTTAAAAGCCGAACATTTCCAAGCGCTGTCTTGAACTTTCCCCAAATTTCTTTGAGCATAAAACAATGATAAATAAACACTGAGAAGCGGTTTGACGGTTCCCGTACCAACATTTCCCTTCTATCAGATGCGGGGATAGAGCCTGAATACCGGATCGGACACTACTGGCGTGTTTCATCAGTAGTACACCGCGTCCCACCAGTGCTACCACATATGGTGTGAACCATACTGTGAGAGCACATGACTCCCAATCGACCGTTTTGCAGGCAGTTGCCTATAAATTAACTAGATTTTGATAACGAATTCCCCTAATTGCGTTTATGAAATCACGGATAATCCTGTCCGCTGTTTACATGCTGAAAAAACGAAAAGCACCACCGTGAACACGCAACAACGTGCGACATATAGGTGTCTAAGTTCGCCACTTGTTGTCGAAGAATGTTAAAGAAGGTAGTCAACTCGCCGGACATTAGCTAAGATCAACCCAAAATAAATAACCTCGTTCAATTCTGTCCCGTTTGCGAGTTTTGCTCCGTTATTCCCACAATATTTCACCGACAATTTTTCTGCTGGATTCCACTGTTCTTGCTAAATCTCAGTTGGTCCAGCTAACTCGGAAAGTGTTTGTGCACACATCAGATTCCGGGCTGTTCGGATTGGACTATGGCGAGGATCGTTTTTTACTACAAAGTAGTTATGAGTATTCATTTCGATATGCTAATGTTGGATGGGGTTCGCAACACCACTGATCTGCTTCCAACTTATGTAGGAGACGAACACAGAGATAAAAAATGACACATCTGTCAAACGATGAAGTGAACACCAACCAGCCGAGTACAAAATGTTCTCAATTAGTGATGAAACTTGGTTTGATCCTGTCCAGAAAGCTTGCTTGCTCGAACGACCACTTATCCGAAGAAGATCGATAACTATTCAGACTAAGCGATTGGACTATTCATTAGCAGTCACATGTTTGTCCAACTTAATCGCTATGTGGGCTAAGTCAACTCGGGAACCAAGCCGGAATTAACCGAACTAGGCAAACTGAGCAGTGGGGACGTATTTTATTCATGTGTTGAAATATTGGTAGCTCGGGTGAGTTTATTTGTTTTGATCAGGTGGCTGCTGATCTGTTCGCCTAGCTTGGCAATTGGCTTGCCGATTGGTTACACCTCAAGTAGCCAATCACGTCAGAAGATAACAGATAGCCTTCGAATGCTATATAAACGCACGCAGGCAAGGAAGAAGTACCCACCCAACTGCGTACTGATGATGTCTCCTCGTATGGTGACGAAACGTCTGCAAGTCAATTGCCAAGCTCGGCGAACAGATCAACAGCCACCTGATCAACAGCCATCATTTTATTCAGTAAACAACCGAAATTCTTAATAGGTACCCCAATTACACGACACTTTTAAACCCATCAGATAAGTCCGAAGAAAACCCAACGCATCCGCGATATTTTAGCCTTGTTACTCCTTCTTGAGATCCTTCAATATTTTTGTCTCTAACAAGTTTTGTACTCTGTAAGTAGTTTAAAGTGGTCAACAGAGCATGTTCCATTTGAAAATGGGTACTGATGCTATCCGACCTGTTTTTCTTCCCCCGCTCTCACATTCAGCTAGCAAAGTGCGGAATCTTGTTCTACAAAAAACCGGTCCCCACGAACATCATGTTTGCATTTAGCTACCAGATGGACAATCTGTTTGCCATGAGCAAGGTTAGTTTTGCCCTTTTCAGTAGTTATATAGTAGCCAATCGCAGTTTATGACATTAGTGAGTGCCCATCACATGACTGGTCACGTGATAAATGTTATCGGAGCCACTGTAGTGTACTGAACACGCAAAGCTGCGAGTGAGTGTGGAACAAACAAGAGTAGTTGTTAAGCAAGAAAGCTTATACTCAAGCCCCCCCAATAGGGGTGGATCAAGCAAACTTCAAACGTTTGAAAGAAAAACCACACGCAAACTTTTGAACCACCAAATATTTTCTGTTATTGTTCATAGTCAAACCACTCTCGTTCGAACGGTCGTCCTCCTGTTCTGCTGTAATTATTCCGGTGAGTCCACACCGAGGGGAAGCACCGGACTCGAGTTCCGCTCTTATTAGAGCTCATCAGCAGTGCATATCCGATAGTCTTGCCGTGATTTAAACTCCGGACATGTGAAATGCGAGGCGAATGTGTAACCACTACTCGACCAACACATCCGAATTTTCACGTTTGAACAGACGAACGTGTTCACCGAAATTCAGAAACCAGTCAACTATAGTTGTGCTTTCGGAGCCAAGCTGAACTTCTGGGACCAAAAAGCGCAACTGATGGTGCAACGAGGGTGCGAAGTGCAAAAACGTCCAAAGATGTTGAACTCACCTCAATTTGTGATTGGTATTTAGGGGACTATTCAATGATTTCCAAAAATGTGGGGCACAGAAATAAAACTTGAAATTTACAAACGATAACTTATGAACCCTCGGTTTCAAGGAAACAGGAATGTCCATTAAAATATGTTTTCACCGGATGTGACGGTCAAGAGCCTAGCATCGTCCGGTCACGTGTCTCATCACTCTCCAGGTGAAGGTTAGAGGAACAATGGCATAGACATACAAAGCCATTGAAGAAGTTTGCATGCCAAACTGGTCTGGACAAGAGCCGTAGTAATGGCGTTCCCTTTAATCTCCTCCAGGAAGTGCCCTGAATGGTGCTACGAAATAACTGGACACTTGCCAGCAGAGTCCTACAACTTTGATGTCACTCCAATTCAAGATCCAATTGAAGACCTCCTATCTTAGATAAAATGATTTACTAATCTCGATACATTGTTTCCAATGATGGTAAGGTGAGCAAAGTGTATGAGGGGTCCTCTCTGCTGTAGGTCAACCATATTTTTATTTTCGTGAGAACTTGATACCGTTTAGTCAGGTTTGTATTCTTCCGGAACTGCGTTACACCCGGTGATGTCTCAGGTTGAACTGGTTCACAATCTTCTCACGATGGGCAACAAAATTGTGCTGCACTATTTTAGGAAATGTCTTCCAGTTAATCACGCAGTGTATTGTGACATTTTCCGTGGGGTAGGTCAGATCGTCTCTCGTTATTTCAGCTTAATTGAGTAGATGGATTGCTCACAGTTAAGTTTTTCCACCACTTAAGGCTTGTCGTATACGGTGTGGCTTTGTTCATACCTCTTCACTGCGTTAAAATGGCGACCTTCGTTCAGACTGTATACCACATTTTCCGTTGTATAATTGAACAGTGTAAAGAATCACACTTACTTCACTGTCGTGTGTCTGGACAACTGGGAATTCGGAGTAAGAAAATGGGCAAATTGTCCCATGATATTAATAGGTTGATATTTTTCCGAAAAGAAGGAGAATAGAGGAGTATTTATCGGAAAATAGAAGCATTCCGGCCTAAAATGGGGTTTTCAGCTTACAGTACAACATGATTTAGAAGGATCCCGTTTTAGCGACCCCACTCTCCATGGACCGACGTGTAATAGTCCATTATCAAACAATTTTGAGTGGGCGTAACATGCTACTCATAAGGTTGCTGAAGAATATTGGGTAGCTCACAACTGTGCTTAAACTCAGTCCCTGAGTTCCGGTCAACTTTTAGTTCTATTTGAACCCGAATTCCACGTATTCGCAAACCTGAGTTTCAGCTGGGTTTCAGGTTGCTGAAAAAATCTATATACAAATGAGCGTACATTCTGAAACACTAGATGGGTTTAGGACAAATTACCCCTCTCTCTTGTCATTCAAAATCTGCGTTTTATTTGAAATTTTGAGCGGATCAACACTAACTCACTCTTTCTCCAGTTATACGGTTATGTGTTCCGAAAAACCTAGAACGGAGTATCATCGCATCCAACAGCCTTTTCAAAATCAATAGGTACAGCTTTTGTAGCATAGCGAATAAGACCATACGATGTACTTTTGTGTTTGCTGCGGTTGTGTCTGGAATGTGAAGGGATAATCTTTGATTTTAAAAAAAAATGTGATGCACTGTCATCCACACATTAGAAGAACACCCTTTATCTGGCCAATAAATGATTTGGGCGAAATGGCCAGTGATTTTTGCGACCCGTTTTCAACGTTGAGTTTTTTTTACACCAGCTGGCCGATGTGAAATCTTAGTGAGTTCTTGATTTGGGCTTCCAGCGGGGTTCGCTCACTAAAACATGGTTGAACCTGGAATTTAGTCTCGTGGGGCATTTTCAACTCCATACGTAGGCGATGCAGAGAATCTTCGGGTTCCGGACCGCCTCAGGTAATCTGACTAAAGAAACTACTCACAAGGTTGCTGAAAACTCTTCGACAGCCTACGACCGGTTTCGCCCTTCCACTTTGGGCTCATCAGGTAGGCGCAGTATCCGAGTCTACCCGAGTCTCCGTCAACCTTAAGTTCTACTTGAACCCAAATTGGACTGTTTCCGAGAAATACACTCATTTGCAAGATTTAAAACGTTCATGTCACACGCATTACTCTGGTTGGCAGGTTCTTGGAAGTTATCCCCAGCTACCCTTTGTAACTGATTGATTTCAGAAACCGGGATTTGAGAATGACCATATAACGATGAGAAGATATGGAAGCCTTAGTTACAGTATGACGGTTTTCTGGAATATTCGGCAATAGTATAAAGCAAATCTAGCAAAGTGGAAATCACTTCGCTCTTATGAGGAATTTTCTGGACATATTATCATACGTTTTGCTGTGATTTTGCTTCACTAGGGGTACCAAGGGAAAGGCTGTTTAGTCGTTCTCTTTTCGAAACATCATTGACTATTAAAACGCTATAAACTTCACAGCAGTCGTAGTTCTTTGTCAGTAGTTAAGGCAAGAACTTTGATCCACCGGTAATTTATGATCAAAAGAAACGTTGCACACCTCCTAAATTCCATGGCGCCTTTTCAGAGGGTCAGGATGTATCTTATTCGTCACACAATCAACCGGGGAGAGTAGATCATTTTCTGGCAGAGCCACACGCTCGTAGCAAAACAGCACGTACTAGACACAAACGCAAATTGAGCTGGCTAATAGGTGGTGTTCTTCAACAGCACGGATTTCCAGGACAGAACCAATGTGAACCCAAACACCGTTTGAGCAGTTCGTTTAAGATCAAACGCATCAAGCCGGCAGTGTGGTTTTAGCATTCTCAACTCCTTACTCAACACTTCCGAGGTCAACATAATTCTCAATGTACATCGACAACCTATCGTTGTTTTTGTTTTTGTGGCTACAATGATGAACCATCATTGGTCAGTTTCATCACCCTCGTTCCCAGACGTGAATCGGTTTCAACAATCTCGTTTGCACACACGCGACTCTCACAGGATTGACGCATGCCAGCCTCGCACAGAGAAGCTATGCATGTGGTGAACGGAATTTGGACGTAACACAATGTGTTTACCCAACTAATTTACTCGATTCGTTTTGCTACACCAAATTGTCGACCTAACCGAAATTGTGATGAGTTGTCAAGCTGCAGTGTTGATTCAGGCAAGAATAATACTGGGAATAGAACTTCGTGGTTAGGTTTTTGCTCGGCACTTCAAACCGCCTGAGCTAAACTCACGAAAGACTGCCTACTCGACTCAAAAGTGCTCAGGCAGATCTTCACTAAGAAATACATGGAACGAGTACGGTGGCACAAAGCTATCAAACTGTTGTCCTATCTATCAGCGGAATAATCAAAATGTAGACTCGTCTTCGATGAGTACGGTGTAAAAGCATCAACTCCCTTGATCATGTTTCACTCAGGAATGTGAGCTGAGTTCCTTGGCTTTGGTAAGGGAGCCTCTAAAACCGGATATCATGGGAATACATACAGCTTGATTTTACCCGTTAAATTCATCAAGATGACCAGCAACGAATAACTTCTGAGAAGGGAACCGTTTTTGGAGCACCTATTTGGGATTAGGTGTGTGACTGCAGTCGACAAGCTCTCAACTGTGTCGACTGCTTTTCAACGAGTGTCCGACAAGAAATGCGCAAGGCTACAGTGCCGTACAGCGTTCGAAAAATCGGCAAAAGAACTGAAATATTATCGTTTTTTTAAAACGTTTCAGCTGTCCGGAATAACTCTTGAGATATCGAAATAAAACAGGTTGCTACTTTAAAAGGGTACGTTATGGTGGTGGGATCATCTCAACCAGTTCGAGATGGATTGACTTCTTCCGATAAAAGTCACGAAGTGGGATTTCAAATTAAATGTGATGACCTTCAATTCGTTAGTATGTTTTCAAATAGATTTTCTTCAAATTTCGTAGAATGCACCACATATGTGTTTGGTGCCAATTTTTTTGGAGCAATGCTTAGCTGTTGTGATAAAGTTGTGGGAGTAAAGTGCGAGCACAGTCTAGAATTTGAGTGTTGCTCAGTGTCGTTTATTCAAACCAATTGGACATTCTTCTGGTGCAAATCGATCCCGACAGCAGAACGTCTGTGATTAAAACTCAAGCTGAATGAAAGTCAAGTTAAATTCTTGCAGTTCAGGAACCAGAACTGGTGATCCCGGCAAGAATACGGCTTTGTGTCACAGTTACTCTCTCATAAAATGGCGCAGCTTGAGTATTTTTTTGAAAGCGACTTTCGAATTTCCTCCATATTCACTTCAGCGTTCCTGTTCCATGAGGAATACCTTAGAAGTGAATTGCACATACTTAACAATTGCAAAACTGTAGCACAAGTTGTTCCACAGGACTAAGGAAATCTATTGATCCGAAATTTTTTCGATGGACAAAGGCTTACTCAATTTCTTGCTCTTTTAACAAAGGTCATTCACACAATTCGAAGCATAATGGACTGGTTGGATGCAACCGAGAATCGAGTGTTTCAAGTGATGTCTATTTATGAAATGCATACACAGATACCTGTAAGTGTTTATAACATCCCTTATTCCTTTCGTTAGACCATACTTATGAATACTACTCAGTTGGAGCATGACTCTAATCTTGTTTCAACCACTGTATAATCTCCTTTGTAAAGAACAAGCCAGCTGATACATTACTTGGTCAAAAAAGATTCCCAGCTCTCGACCCCTAATTGATCTCTGTACAATGCACAATTCACACGTCGCTGTGCTTCGAACACTGTATAATCTCCGTTGTAAAGGACAAGCCAGCTGATACATTGCTTGGTCAAAAAAAGATTCCCAGCTCTCGACTGTCCAATAGTATGCAGTATGATAAACTCTTGAGAAAGACAACCCCTAATTGGTCTCTGTACAGTGCACACTTCACACGTCGCTGCAGTTGTTCCACAGGACTAAGGAAATCTATTGATCCGAAATTTTTTCGATGGACAAAGGCTTACTCAATTTCTTGCTCTTTTAACAAAGGTCATTCACACTATTCGAAGCATAATGGACTGGTTGGATGCAACCGAGAATCGAGTGTTTCAAGTGATGTCTATTTATGAAATGCATACACAGATACCTGTAAGTGTTTATAACATCCCTTATTCCTTTCGTTAGACCATACTTATGAATACTACTCAGTTGGAGCATGACTCTAATCTTGTTTCAACCACTGTATAATCTCCTTTGTAAAGAACAAGCCAGCTGATACATTACTTGGTCAAAAAAGATTCCCAGCTCTCGACCCCTAATTGATCTCTGTACAATGCACAATTCACACGTCGCTGTAATTTCTAAAATACTCTTGTTAATCAAACAAGGTTTATAAATATCTTTACTGCGTTCTGCTCTCCATCGATCCCCGAACAGAATAAATCTGATTGCTCTCCACCGTGGCTGGTAGCTTGCCAAACATGTGTGTGTGGCGCGGAACGACCAGTCCCTAGCCAAATTAGTTCGCCCAGAATCAAAGATGCACGCATATTTAGTGTTGGTTACTCCTGCAGTTGGTGAGCTTGTTTCATTCCAACTGCAAAGGACATTCTTCTGTAGTTTCGATATCAGTTGTGCAAAAGTTATCACAGTCAGTATCTGCACCCGTGAGAAATACGTCTTGATACTGTCCGATCCCCGAATACGTCACATTCACTAACATCACACTGCTATTCGTAAGGTGAATCGCGCAACTACGTCTAGTCAGGTGATTGTAGGGTGGCAGTCAGAGAGTTGAACACAGAATGGTAGCTGATTGGACCAAGCCGGATTATCAATTCAGAATAATCGAGTGACAAAACGCCAAACATGGAAGTGTTTTACGCCTCGAGGAAGGTGCTAAAGTTCACCAAAGCGTGCAGCAGAAGAGCATACTCGTGTACCCAATTTACACAATACCATCAGTACAGTTAAGTTCCTCCATTGGCTGTAGATTGGAACGTATCCAACAGGACCATTCGAGTGGACCATAAAAATGGACTGGATTGATGGCGTACTTCTGAGCAGCAAGTCAGTGAAACTGTGCCTCCAACAGTCAGTATGCACGAGTTATTGGGCTAGGCGTCAAAGAGGAGGATAACAAACGCGTTCAACACAGGCTCAGGTGGACAGGGTGGACCAATCAGCGACCAGGAAAACAACCGCACCGCTTTATTTGAATTCTTGTTATACACAATTTTACAAAGTGTTTAGCGCGGCAGAAACGAAAATGTTTACGAGAATGTTTACACTGTCAACCAAATGCCTGCACCTGTTAAGTGGGCACCCTAATCGTCTAATCGATAGTAATATCCTCTGTAAAAACTGGCCCCCTTAAGTTGATGTTTTTTGTTCATCAGCTGGCCCCTTCCCGTCGCGTGATTAAAATCGCGTGACGGATAAATGAGTGATGTACTTTTCGCGTTGTTGATTGACTTCGCTTACAGTGGTTCAAAAAAAGTGGTTCACACTCTCCCACTGCTGTGTGCATAATATTGTCAACTTGCCTGAAGGCCGATGAAAGTTCGCATGTTTAGCGGTGTCCATGGATCAGATGCCGCCGTCGGACCTACCAACAGACGTAACCAACTTTGACTTTGGATCTTTGATCGTGACCATAGCCGCATTTTGTGTGAATTATGCCAATACGGATGGCGGTCATCCTAGGATAAGCAAGTCAGTGCCCTTCGTCTTCTTAGAGGGTCTGGTCTTCTTAGAGGTCTGGTCAACTCTCACCAGAATAATAGTTAATCTGCTGGGGAGTGAGGGGTCTAACAGATCATTGGTTGTCGATCAGGTGGCTGTTGATCTGTTGGCCGAGCTTGGCAATTGGCTTGACACGAGTACAAGACTCGTTCAGCTGTAGCACTCTTTCGGTGCCTAGCTGCCACGCCACTCAAAGGTTGCACGAGGGCTGGGTTGCCGAAGCCTAGACAGGGGAAATCGAGAGGTAGGGGTCGGGTTCGAACCACGGACCTTTCGGTCAGAAAATTCGCTCTCTAACCACTTGGGCCACCTCGCCCCCGAAGGACTGTTTGTTGATTCCCAGCTTTTCAATCTAGGCAGGATCCACCTGAAGTGTGAGTATCCGACCTACCTTCATTGTTCTATCTGCCCTAATGGCAGTCAGATATTGAGTTCTGACAGGCTGTTTTGTCTTCTCCGGTTCATCTACTATCTTGTGATCAATACTATATAATTGGCGTACGGTCACTGTACTAGGCCTAATTACAGGTTTCGAATTCCTAGCAGCAGGAATGAATATTGTACCCATTAGGCACTAGTTGATGGTTGATTACCAGACAGCGTGGACCAGTACCTAATGATTCTGTGGGACATTGAACCAATTGGTTTTTGCCAACAGTTTCGTGCTACCCAGGAAAGTCGTAAAAATCAATAAAAGTAATGTATTGTATTGACCCCCGGAATTCGGAATTCATTATTTTACGAAAGACATGGTATTTAAAACGAACGGCTGTTTTTTTATCTGCCATGAATTGCCGGAATCCAGATGAAATCCTCATGAATTCCTGGGAATAATTCAAAAGCGTTATCAAAATAAATTGGATTTTCTGAAGATTAGTGTGCTGGTGCGGAGCGCATCACCTATGCTTGTTTAATCAGTTAGGATGGATCAAGTTAAGCAGAGGATCCGTGTAAAACTCACATGCACAGGACCATGGTCGCAGCACTAGTGGCCTTGAGTATGACAGTGCCTGAAAGTCCAACAGACAGTCAAAAAGAAATGAGCCCAAAAGTCTGTGTGGAAAAAGGTCAGCTTTTTCGAGAGGCAGCGAGAGTCAGATTGCCGTGCGTAGCTGGAATCGTTGAAACCCAAAAACCTAGGTGTGGTTTATGCATTCAGAAGCCGACAACTTGTACGGTTTGCCTCACTTGACATAACTCTCAGCACACAATAACACGTGATCTGTCATGTCTCCCTGCACTCCAGCTGACAGATGGTCAGGATTTCAAGGTCACGGGCACGGGCGTACATTGTGTTTTCATTTTCAATGTGATCTTCCAATTATTCCGCGTCTTGATTTCTTCATGTGACCCCCCGTAGAGACATCGCAAAAATGTTCTTTTCCTCAGAGATATGTTTCCAAACAAAACTTGCAACCATCCGTTAAGCCTGCCCATGTGCTACGCATGCCGAAACACCGTCTAGCGAGACGAGTGTCTTTCTCCGTGCCTCCTTTAGGATGGCGCGAACCGAGAGGTGGACAGCACATGACTTGGCGGAAAGGCGTGAAAGAGACCAAGAGGAGCTTGGGTGTTATTGGTGTTGTATGCCTTCCTGGATGGGGTCCCCGTGATCCTGTCTGTGCTTGGCTGGAGACGTTGCAAGAAAAGGCGGCTAATCGATGTCAGTGGCGTTCGTGCTGTCAGTTTCTTTCCAGATTGTCTGAGGTGTAGGCACCTCAAAGTGCTTGACATAGGCCAGCACTAGTTCCCCTCCCTCACCCACTCTTTTTCTCTTCTTTTCACCCTAGGGCTTTTAGTATAATTATATACATATAATACTAGCCAAACATTATGGTTGTACGGCAGTGAAGCACCAGTCATAACAGTGATGCTGTTGTTTTTTATTATGATGATAATGACTATGGAAGCCCGAAGTTAACACTGCAAGAGCGTTATTGTTTTCCGAACCCACTAAATACAGTATTCCCGGAGTTTTATCATCGTCGATGGAGAGTTCGCCTTGTAAGTGAAGTCAGTCTGTTCTGAAAAGCCAAGGAGTTGTTTCATACTTTCTCAAAAGTCATCAGCTGCATGCATCTCACGAAACTCTGAATAGTGTCAAACCCGCTACCTCCAGGCTAGTTTTGTCCTGTTTATGCGGACTCATATCCAGGTTTTTCCTCAAAAAACACAGGTCAACAGTTTGAGATTTCAGAGCTGTTTTGTGTACATACATTTTCCACTTTCAAATGTTTAGCTAGGAGTTTGATTCCTGAGGATCTGCGGGGCTGACAATTCCAAGTGACGAACAGAAGTGCATGTGACTGATTCAACTGCTTCGTGTCTAATGCTTCTTGATATGGTCTCACCGAAATACATGTCTGTTTTCTGCTTCATTCCGACTACATCAATCCGAGTTCGGCGTACAGTGTTGTAACGATACAGAGTACAGAATACAGACTGTAGTAAACTATACACACTGCGCTCCAAGTGAAAACGAGTCGGCCCGGATAGTCCAGGCTTACCGAAAAAAGCAATGCATGCCACTTTGATTTTTCGGCAAAACGCCTGAGGTTCTACGCATTCCACATTCATCTTCACAGTTCGCCCATTCTTTGTGAACCGCTGGTCTCATATGTGGCAAAACATTCACTTGGAGATCAGAATTTTGACACAGAATAAGATGAGGAAATTTAGAAACGGTCCACTTGAGTGACTTCACCAAGAGCAAACTTCTACTCCAAAACTAGTGTCGTATCAAAAGAGTAATTTTACTGAACAATGCCGTTTCGAATTGTTTTGTAGAATACGCAAGCCACAGTTAGGACACTATGCCAGTTAGATTACACGGGCTGAGTATATTGCATTTTCTGTCAACCCAGTTCAAGTTATCCTTTAGGAGGTTGAACTGACCCAGAGTGTTTTTACTATACCTCCTTTATTTCAATGTTTATTACTAAAACTCTCGAAACTCGTGTGCAACCAAATGTAGAACGCCTGGTTACAAAGCCTGTCTGGATAATTCATCTGTCTCGTCTTTTGAGGGACCGCTTACCAGCGGTCTTCAAATGCCCATAGCCATATGAATTTTCGCAACTCATAAGACCCCTTATTGTTTCAACCCCTTGTAGAACTTTATAAGCACAATATCCGAAAATTTAAAGGCCCTTCGAATCTGCGGCAAATTACTTCATCATCTTGGTTCAATCTATCATCGTGTTCGACCTCTGAAAAGGCAGGAGAGCATGAAAGTGCGCGCCCTCACAGACTACCGTCTCCATTCTGTAAGTGACAGTGGTACTACTTAACTTAATGGTTGCTTCCAAACCTATTTCAACGCCACATATGATTCAGTACTTTCAGGATTTTGTGGTTTGACAATACACTCGTCTTACACGCACAGACTCATCATGTCACCGGCAACGATCAATTCGAATCACAGATCGTTAAATCCACGTGACATTATCAGCTGACTTGCTTAACTATTTGTGACACATCATGATACGCAGGTCACAGTAGCATATCACTGTTCATTAGTGTGGCTGTAAATATGAATCAATTATGGAATTAATTGTTATATTTCTAAGTTAGAACAGAACAAAAAATTAATAGCATTCGTTGAGCCGACTTACCGGTCGATATGACGAACGATCTGGGCTCATCTGGAAAGACTGCTTGGAAGTGTATTTTTGGAACCGTACTTTTAAATTGTACAATGGTACAATGGAGTATACAAACACTGCACTTGCAAAAAAGTATGAGGGTCCAAGAGTTGATTCAACGAATAAAAGCAGAATAAATATCAGCAAAAAACGATGGGGGCTGCCAAATCACACGAGCTATGGAACTGGGATAACCGCACCCACAGCAATGTATGGATAAAAGAATCATCTGGCCTCTCTGAAGACAGTATCTTTTTAGAAAAAACCTTGGTGAGCCCGGTACGTGCCTTAAGAGCAAGCGAAATTTTAGGAGAGTTTACGCAAGCATTAGTTATCACAACAAAGTCGCACAAACTGTCAACAAGGACGCACAGGATTGACTCAAGAACTCGCGAAGAAGGAGTGAAAATACTCCTATACTTCCAGCAGGTAGAGGACATTCTATAGGTTCTCTGAATAGTCCAGTTTATACTGAGGAAGTGTATAACACTCATTCGATCAGGGCTAAAAATGCCAAGTAATACAGGCTACTAAGAATGATGGGAAATAAAAATAGATGATACCAGTTATGTGAAAAATACTTGGAACCGATTGGGTAGTCATCGTTTTCGAAAATGTTTGGTGACAATCGGTGGATTTATTGCTGGGCAACGTTTCGCTTTTGACACAAAAGCTTCGTCAGGCCAAGTTGGTCGAGATTTAAGGCGGAAGGGGAACCAATCAGCTAAGTCAAGCTAATCTCTGTTGGGTGTCGGCCGAGGGATTTTAGTGTGTTGGAGTGGTTGAACAAGGGTTGGGTCGGTGGGGAAACCTACGTGTTTGGGTTCAGCCT